ATAAGTAAACAGGACCCAGTGACCTCATAGACAGGAAGGCCGTGTCTGATCATCAAAGGCTTCTCTGCCCAGCCACCTTGGCTCTGCAGGGGCAGGGGAATGACGGGTCAAACAGGCCAGTGTAAAAACAATAGGTCCGTATATCCTTTACAGGACTGGTCAGCATCAAAGTCTGCCAAGACACTTGAAGACCCAACAAATCAAGATAGCAGTCTTTATTTTTAACTGCTTGGGAAGTGAAATATCCTGCTGGTATTAAGATGGTTTTTAAGCATGGGCTGTGAGGAGCTATCAGCTCTCTCTTTATTATGAGTAGGTGCATTGCATCGGCCCTGAGCAGGTCTGTTTGTATGCTGTGTGAGACGCATCTTTTCGTTTCAGCATTACTGAGTCTGTCCAGTTTTGTCTTCAGCTGGACACCGAAAAGCTGCAAAAGGTCCCCATCCTGAAGAAGCTGCGTGCTCTTGAAGAACAAGCTGGAAAGGATGTAACACTGGGGGCAGCGCCTGTTGCGGCAGAAGCTGGTCTGCACGCCAGTCAACCCAAAAGGCAAACCAGGCGGAGGCCGAGGCCAAACACACAGCAGGATGCTGAGGGAGAATCCAGCCAGGACTCTAGACTGGAAAAAAGAATAGTGGGAGAACCAAAAGCCAGACAGCATCTGACTAGAATGAATAAAGAAAGCAGAGGAGACGGCAAGGCAGGTAACGAGCAAGAAATTGGCAAGACAATAAAGGGAAAAAGTAGAGGGAACACAAAGGAGCAGGTCCCAGAAGAGGGTGGAAATGAAGTCAAATCTCAGCGTAAGCTCCATCTGAGTGTGACCACAGTTTATCTGGGAGGAATCCCTGCTGGGCTGCGTGTTAGTGAGCTGAAAACTGCCCTCCGAGAGAGGGAGGCCACTCCACTGAGACTCACCTGGCAGGGAGCTCAGCACAGGGCCTTCCTGGATTACAGTGACCCCCACGCTGCAGATCAGGCCCTGGAGGCTCTGCAGGGGCTCGCTCTCAATGGTCACAGTCTGCAGGCTGAACTGGCCAAGAGCCAGCGAGGAGGCAGGAAATCTGGACAATCCAGTAGAAGACCAAAACCAGCAGCGGCTCCGAAGTCTGAAGTATCAGCACCAGATGCTAAGAGTGATGCCACAGAAAAAACTGAGCAGTAAAAGCAGTAAGAAATATACCCAATGTAATGCTTAAGTTGTTTACAGTTTTGGACAACTGCAAACACCATAAAAGGAGTTGAGTTTTTTTTTTTTGCTTTAAAAAAAATATGAACAAAAATGTGATTTATTAGAAGAGAACACATTTGAACCTAGCAGGCTTGACTAAATATTAACAACACTTGAAACTATGAGAGTAGTGAACCTGGATTTGAATCCAGACAAATTCTATAACGACTAAGATTTTGCTATACGCTCTGTTAAGTGGGCTACAGGAACTTTTCTTTTTCTTTAAATTTGTCCCAATCATTTTTTCTTCAAAGTGCCTTTATCAGAGATTCTTAGAAACACAACACTCATTTTCTCTTTCAGTCTACAAACTGCATGCAGTGCTTTTGCTACCATACAATAATTAAAAAAAACAAATAAAAAAGGCTAGTGCTTTTTTCTTTTCTTTTTTTTCCCCTCAAAACTAGCCGTCAGTATTGTCACATTCACAATGTTGCCAGACCTGTTTGTCTGCATCCTACTTGTTTAAATATGGGTTAGTTTTGTTCAAAATGGCACCTGCGTGTGGCAAGTCACAACATTTGATCATTTGATCTAGAATAGTCTAGCCACACAGGCTTCAACCTTTGACCATTTTTGTCTTTCTCATTGTCCAAATTCATCCAGATTTACAGAACTTGTGAACAGACTCCAAGTGTTTATGCTACTTTAATGAGACTACAGAAATGTAAAGAGTTTACAAATAACCGTGACTTAGTTATGATTTTCTTGACTTAATTGATTCTTGTACATAACACAGGATTATTGGATAGTCTCTACTACTGTATGATTTTCTTTTTTCTCTCTCTTTTTTTTTTTTTAACCATGAAAATCTGAAACCGGCAGATTACAACAATAAACAGGGGAAGAGCTAAAGGCCTCTATTGCTGCTGTTCTGTTTTTTTGTTTTGTTTGTTTGTTTTTTAGCTAGTGTTCATTTTTACAGTTATATTTGCACCTATGTAGTTACTAAATACAAATTTATTCATTGTATTTGATGTGGTTGGGCCAGTGAGAGAGTGATGCTGCCCTCAATATTAGATTAATTTGCTTCACATGACTTTACTTAATTCTTCACTAAAGAGTTTACCTGTTAACACTGAGTGTCTTTTTATGAAAAACAAACAAAAAAGAAAATTGATGGGTTATAAATGTTCACAAGGTTTTGCAGAATTTGGAGATCCGACTCTGAAGTTTCCCACCACCTCAAACCATCGTTCTCATGAAGAGGCAGAACTATGTTGTTAGTGGTTAAATATGATATTTCAGGCCCGTTATTGGATTTTCAGAAAACTTGATGTGTTTCACCCAGTTGTAACATATAAAATGCCAGCTTGTAAACTTTAAATAGTTTTAAGCTGTTAACAAAACTTAAAGAAAACTTTAAAAGATTAATTCATTTTTGCAGAGTGACGTTTTTCTTATTCTCTGTTTGGAAAATGTGTCTGTTAACATTACCTTCAAACTTCTGTAAACCCGAGTGCTAGATAACTTGCCCGATGACTCTATTTTTTTTTCTGTTTACACCTGTCTCTGTAGCTGCACTGCCATTACCTAAGAAATTAACCCATAGATGTCCTGTTTGCACTAAAGTCTTGGCAGGATTGGGACACAAGCAGTGTGTCTGTCTGCACAGTACCAGGCCTCTGGCTTTTTATGGAGCTGTCATCCAGGCCTGGCCAGGGAACAGCTGTGGAACGCCATCTCTCTCCCTCAGCCCTCCAGAGCACTGAACCTTGGCAAATGTCATCAGTTTGTTAATGCTCTGTTCCACTGCTGTTAAGCCTGCTTACCCCTGTGCTCAGTGGCATGCTCGTTTTACTGGGGTTCAGTCAGTGGTCATGTGGTGAGATTGCAAAGCGTATCGCCGTGGAGCATGTTACATCCCCTTGTAAAGATGTAGTTGTACACACAAACATCAGCAAACATGACTTAACCATCAAGATTAAAGAAGATAACAAAAGGCCTCAAACCGCAGTTGGTTTACTTAATCTAAATCACAAGCATGAGCATCGGATTAATCTGCATTGACTGTGTTGATGCACTTAATAGATTGTACCCACCATACTCTTACATTAGGAACAACTTTTTAAACGCCATAAATGTTGCTTGAAACTTACAAAGAAATTTAAAATAAGAAACGACGTCCGGATTTATTAATTTTTTTTAATGATTTGCGGTCATTCAGATGAAAAAATTGCCAAATTGGTTTTAAGCCGCACAGACATGCGTGTATGTGAATGTCGAAAAACAACAGTTTGGATCAGAAATCTGATAAAGAAAAAAAAACGTGTCCCTTATAATAATTTGCATCTGTAAAATTTAAATATTTTGACTCTGAGATAAGACAACCAGGATTTTACACAGTACAATACACGTTATGCGTATTATTTATGAGTACTTTTAACTGCTTATTATTTTTGTGTCTTTGCAGTATCATGATTGGTATATCTATTTTATGTAACAAAAACAACGCGTTTTAGATGAGAAATAAAGATGTTCTTCTTTATGAAAAATCGGCCCTACTTTTTTTCTTTGTTTTTAATTTTCCTAGGCCAATTTTCTGTTGTATAATTACGCATTTTGCGGAACACTCCAAAACTAATTATTACAAAGTTATGCTGCTTAAATTAGATCAGCGCAATTTATTGTATTTCCACCATGGCAAGAAATGTTTTTTGGACAAATGCGTCTGAGGAAAACAACTGCCTCACTGCCAAAGCAACGGGACTGCTGCAGGTTTTCACCCTGTAACCAGACGCGTGTGAGATCTCTGCCTCGGATTTGTTACGCCTTAACTGCTGCACACACTCAACAGATCGAAGACATGTTACGATTAACCTTTCAAACCAGTGACTGTTAATGTTCACCAGTCGACCAATGGATTGGGAAAAGTTTAGTTTCTTCTAATAATTCTAATTTTCAAAGTTGGACATCAACTGTAGGTGAAAACAACAGACTGCTGCAGTAATTGCTTAAAATAGAAGACCTAACTGCACCACAGTGACAACTGTCTGTAGTACCGAGGGTACCGGTTGTGCTTTAAAACCCATATAAACGAACCATGCTTTACATTAAAGAATTGCAATAATATACATTTACATGAGAAGGTTGCTGAATAATTGGACACACACACAAAAAAAGCTTCCCATCTTTAAATAAGCTAATTTGGGGTTAATTATGCAATAAGGATCACTGTCTTTGCATCTGTTTACAAGGCATGTTTGCTTGCAGGACCATCGCCCCCGAAAATTGTCTGTGTGCGATAAAATCGAAATGTATCTCGTTTGGTGGAATTGCCGGCTTAAAGAGCCGAAAAGATATTTTATTTCTTAATGCTTTGTTGTAATATAGTCTAAAGACAAACCCTCGCTGATGTATCAGAGATTCTTAGAAACAC